TGCAGTGGAAATTAGAAAATAATGGTAACTTTTCTGTTAAGTCTATTGCAAGCATTTATTGAGAAGTGACAACATGTCAAGACCAAAATTTCCATCGGGACAGATTTGGAAATCAAAGGTTCCTCCAAGAATTGCGTCTTTTGGTTCGGAAGCATGCAAGGAAAGTATTTTGACAATTGATAAATTAAAATCAAGGGGGATGGTTATCCCAAACAGATGCTATTTATGCATGCAGGCAGAAGAATCATGCAACCATATTTTATTGTGGTGACCTGTGGCCTTTGGAATTTGGAGTCTTGTTTTAAATCTTGTGGGTATTAGTTGGGTGACAGCGAGATCCATTAGAGAGGAGTTGTGGGATTGGGAGGGTATGTTTTAAGTGAATAGACTAACTAAGCTTATTCCATTGACTATTTTTTTGGTTCTTTGGAAAGAGAGAAATTCTAGACCTTTTGAGAATAAAGGAATTGATTTGTATAGTTTGAGAGATAGGTGGATGCATCTTTTTGGGTTTATGTTGTTAGAACATGACATCATTAGTGAAGTAAATTTTGGGGATGTCATAGATTCACTTACTACTTTGTAAAGCATTTGTAATTGGGTGCTACCCCTTTTCTTGGTACCATGTTAATGCATATATAGTCTATAAGCAGTATTTTCTAAATAAACCAAGTACCTTAACAATACATAAAGATTGCATCACATAAATATCTCTAATATCAAAATATGTACAATTTAGGATCTTCTTGCTCCACATCATTTTGTCCTACTTAGTGAAACCTCAACTTCAAGTTTTGAACTATCAAGTAGAAAATATATGAAAATTGGAACTTGTCTTCCTAATAATTGAAGCTTGTGAAACTTTGAATTGTTGTGAGAAAATGATAGTGCTTCCAAAATCATGGATTCTAAAGGAGCAAAGAAGAAACTAGGGATGCAAAAATCTATAAATGGAAGAATCATCAAACTTTGATTATCCATATTGGTTGCAGAAAATGTTTTTGTCGTAAATACTTCAAGTAGGGCTTCTTTGTTTTCATGGAGTTCAAATCCACTAGAATATTACCATCACCAACATCAAAAACATCATTGCTTATAACTTAATCGAGAGATCCATCATGAGGTAGCTCCATTTACTCAGTAAAAACATCTTTTACAATCTTCTTTTACCTCATCTATTAACTTGTTACCATTAGTTGGATCGTCAATGATAATAACATCACCTCACTCCATACGACGAGATAGATCGTGAGATTGATGGCCACTACATTGTTGTTATCCTACAAGGAATGCGTAATGATTTTATTGTTTGCATCAAAGATGGTTTAAACTTAGCTCCACAACTTTCAAGAACTCTCCCTACTAACTCATGAGCAATCGATGAAACTTTTTCGTCATTTCCTCGAACATTGTTCAAGAGAGGAGAGAGCAACTATACCGAGATGTACTAACTTTTTTGTAAAAGAGTGGTCTTAATTTCTTCCATGTATAAGAGAACATCAGTTATGGTCCCAATTTACTTTTTCTTCTTTTAAGATAAAAAAGCTACTTCAGATGACTGACACAGGACTCCCAATATCGTACAACTTAAGTACAGTCACTCCATCCATTTCATGGTATAGTCATGGTCCCGATTTACCAAT